GATTCGAACCAACGACCCTAGTACTGCCAAGCTGAAGTGCTAACCAATGAATGAAATTCATAACAGCTTTGTTGACATTGTGATCCCATAGCGATCACATGATTACCAAGTCCTGAGTGGACACAGCGGTCCCCGGGGGGAGGCACCCTGCATGCTCCCTAGTGCCAGTACAGGTGAAGTGACATACGGGTACGTCGCTTTGCCTGTACATGCCTGCTGCCTTCAGTAAAAGCTCTATGGGCAATTGGTTAAGGCAGTGTTTCTCAACTCCAGTCCTTATGGACCCCCAACAGGTCATGTTTTCAGGATTTCCCTCGGATGAAACAGCTGTGGTAATTACTAAGGCAGTGAAACTGATCAAATCACCTGTGCAAAATAATGGAAATCCTGAAAACATGACCTGTTGGGGGTCCATGAGGACTGGAGTTGAGAAACACTGGGTTAAGGATAGCTTGGAAAACATGTGAAATAGAACACGGAGAACCAATTTCTGGCTGAAAATGTAAATTGGAAATAATTCATATGCAGCATTTCATATTAGCCTGATATATAGTTTTTTTTTAGTCCTATACATACAGTATATAAAAAAAACACCATACCTTCCTTTTAAAAATAACTTATCTCTATTGAAGTAAAGGCAGAGTTCACTATGGAGGGCTTGTTCAATTCCTTACTGTGCTCTAGCTATTGCCAGACATACAGTGCTCAGCATAAATAAGTACACCCCAACAGATTTGTCAGAAAACTTTTACTTTCCTTTCAGAATCAACATTTTCTTTGGGACACTATACTACAAAATACTCCCACAAATTCAGGCCATTGATTGCAAACAAGATTTGTTAATTTGCACACACGATAAAGGATTTTCCCTAACAAATTAATTCAAGACTGGGAGGGTATATTGGCATCAATGAACACCACCCAGAAATGGGAGTAATTCAAAAATGGGAGTTCTGCAAAATATATTCCCATGGGCAACAAGTTTAAAGGGTTAAAAATCAAACCTATGTGGCTTACGGCCAAAGTTAAAAAAAAAAAAAAAAAAGCTGTAGATAATGAAAAAAGAGCTTTTATTAAATATAAAAATGAAGGAACACTATCATCGTTGAAACATTACAAAGAATATAACAGAATATGCTAAAAGGAAATAAAGGCCGCAAAAATTGAAAACAAACGACATATTGCAAAAAATAGCTGGACCAACCCCAAAAATTCTTCAAATATATTAATAGTAAAAAGGTCCGGTCCGAGCATGTAGGCCCTTTACAAAATAATCTAGAGTGGGTGACTGGGGACAAAGAGAAGGAAAATTTATTTAATACCTTCTTCAGCTCTGTGTATACAAAGGAGCATGAGGGAGCTCTTTTCCATAATGGGCATGGTATTGACACAGCTCCAGATGATCCACATTGGCTCACAATTGATCTGATCTCCAAAAATATTTAGACAGAATAAAGGTGAATAAAGCACCTGGACTGGATGGCATACACCCACGGGTCCTTAAAGAATTGAACTCTGTCATTTCAAAGCCATTGTTTCTAATTTTTAGGGACTCTTTAATGACTGGCATAGTACCACTAGATTGGCGTAAGGCCAATGTGGTGCCAATATTTTTAAAAAGGGGTCAAAATCTTTACCAAGTAATTTATAGACCTGTTAGTTTAACTTCTATAGTTGGGAAGATATTGGAGAGTTTAATAAAAGACCACATAGATGAGTTCTTGCTGGAACAAAATATTTTACGCAACAGACAGCATGGATTCGTGAAAGACATGAATTCTGATTTCTTTTTATGAGGAGGTGAGCAAAACCTTGGACAGAGGGGTGGCGGTGGAGGCGGTATACTTGGACAGAGGGGTGGCGGTGGACATGGTATACTTGGATTTTGCAAAAGCGTTTGACACAGTTCCCCACACACGGCTAATGTGTAAGGTAAAATCTACGGGCTTGGAAAAATCCTATGTAAATAGATAGAAAACTGGCTAAAAGATCGTATTCAGAGAGTAGTGGTTAATGATTCATACTCTGAATGGTCTAGGGTTGTCAGTGGTGTACCCCAAGTTTCAGTGTTGGGACCCTTACTTTTTAATATATTTATAAACAATATAGGGTCTGAGATTATAAATCCCATTTCAGTCTTTGCAGATGACACCAAGCTGTGCAGTGGAATAACGTCCTCACAGAATGTCTTCAACTTACAAGCCAACCTCAATGCACTGTTTAATTGGGCAACTATGTGGCAAATGAGGTTTAATGTTGATAAATGTAAGGTTATGCACTTGGGGGCTAAGAATATGCATGCATCATACATACTGGGGGGGTACAACTGGGGGAATCAATGGTGGAGAAGGATCTGGGGGTTCTGGTAGATCACAAGCTTAATAATGGCATGCAATGCCAGGCTGAGGTTTCTAAAGCAAGCAAAATCCTCTCTTGTATTAAGAGGTATAGACTCCAGAGAGAGAGATATCATATTACCCCGGTACAAATCATTAGTTATACCTCATCTGGAATATGCAGTTCAGTTTTGGGCACCAATTCACAAAAAGAACATTGGGGAACTGGAGAAAGTACAGAGAAGGGCAACCAAATTGATAAGAGGCATGGAGGAGATCAGCTATGAGGAAAGATTAGAAGAAGTGAATTTATTCTTTCTTGAGAAGAGGAGATTAAGGGGGGATATGATCAACATGTATAAATACATCAGTGGTTCATATAGTGAACTTGGTGTACAGTTATTCACCCTGAGGTCATCACAGAGGACAAGGGGGCATTCTTTATGTCTGGAGGAAAAGAAATGTAATCTCCAAACACAGAAAGGTTTCTTCACAGTGAGAGCTGTGAAAATGTGGAATAGACTCCCTCGAGTTGGTTCTGGCCAGCTTAGTGGATTGCTTTAAAAAAGGCCTGGATTCTTTCCTAGATACACGGAATAGAACTGGATACTAACATTTATAGGTGTAAAGTTTATCCAGGGAATATCCGATTGCCTCTCGAGGGTATCGGAAAGAATTTTTTTTCCCTGCAGGAGCAAATTGGATTATGCTTTGCTGGGGTTTTTTTGCCTTCCTCTGGATCAACTGTGGGTATAGGATTATAACTTTTTTTTTTTTTTTTTTTTTTAATGGTTGAACTGGATGGACTTTTGTCTTTTTTCATCCAGATTAACTATGTACGACCATGTTGCAAAAATGAATACACCCCAGTGAAAGTCTTAGGAGCAAAGCTAAACTTTAGATGACAAAATCCCAGTTAACAAGAATTCAGTAACAGGTGAGTATAATCATTAAACAGGTGTCCAGCAGACAGTTGATAATAAAAGGTCGTTCCTTAACAAAGACAACCCCTTTCCATTTCATGCTGTCAGCAATTATTATTATACAGTATTTATAAAGCGCTAATAGTTCGCTCAGCGCTGTACATTACAAAGGGGGACAGAACATGTGACCGAACAATACCAATACAATGCAAAACATGAGGGGATCGAGGGCCCTGCTCTTTCGAGCTTACAATCTAGAAGCAATGCCACAACATGGAAGAGAAATATCACCAGAGAAAGAGAAAATGTATATTTTTTTACGTAAAAGGTGAAGGCTGCAAGAAAATCAGCCAAGCTTTGCTTATCAGTCAGAATACTGTGGCAAAAGTGATACAAAATTAACAAAGATGGAACTGCGACCATCTCACAGAGGCGTCCAGGCCATCCACAGAAGTTAATACTTCGACAGGAGCATCTTCTGATGAGAGGGGTTGAAGAAAATCGCCATGTCAGTTCACTGTAGTTAGCTAAAGAAGTAGAAAGCCAAACTGGGGGGGGGGGGGGGGGGTGTCCCATAACGCAATACAGCGTACACTGCAGAGGAATGATATGAATGGGTGTCGTCCACGAAGGAAGCCTTTCCTATAGTCTATGTACAAAAAAGCCCGCCTAGAATTTGCCAGTGCCCATGCTGAAAAAGAAGACTGGGATTCTGTGTTCTGGAGTGATGAGACCAAGATGAATGTTTTTGGAACTGATGGCTTCAAAACTGTATGATGTTGCAAAAGTGAGGAGTATCAAGAAAAATCCATGCTGACTACAGTGAAACATGGGGGTGGCAGTGTTCTACTGTGGGACTGCATGAGTGCTGCTGGTGTCAGGGGGGGCTGCATTTCATTGATGGTATCAATAATTCCCAGATGTACTGCTCTATATTGAAAGAGAAGATGCTACCATCACTCCGTGCCCTCTGTCGTCATAGACTTTTCCAACATGACAATGATCCAAAACCCACATCTAAGACCACTGTCAATTTTCTGAAGAACAGGGTGAAAGTGATTCAGTGGCCAAATATGTCTCCTGATCCGAACCCAATTGAACACCTATGGGGAATTCTGAAGAGACAAGTTGAGCATCATTTTCCATTCAGCATCCAGGCTTTAATAGAGGTTGTTCATGAAGAATTGAAAAAGGAGTTGCAATATGTCGCCAACTTGTAAATTCCATGCCTAGAGAACTTGGTGCTGTCCTTACAAATCATGGAGGTTATACCAAATACTGGATGCAGTAGTTTTTTTTGTGGGGTGTATTTGTTTTTGCATCAACTAATTTGAGTAAAAGTGAAGATTTTGTAACCGAAGTTATATTATTAACCTTACTTGTGTTCATTGAGATATTGATTAAAATCTTACTTTTCAAAAGGAGTGTACTCATTTATGCTGAGCACTGTAGATATCTGGTATGTGCTTTGTGTGTCAGTGTGTTGCTAGATGTAATCGATATACGGTAAGGTATTGTATAAAATCAACAACAGTAAACTTTAAATTTGGTTGTTGATTGCACAGATAGAGGGGGGAAAAAAAGCATTATTTTTGTTGTTTGGGTATTATTTATTAGTTTCTGAAATACATTGTTGCATTCTACCTGTCTGTTTCATGCTCTGATAATGAGTTGAAGTGTTCTTTACAAATTATTTTGTACAAATTATAAATTCCCTTCATTGTTGTCTTGTACTGTATAGAAGTCAATCACGTAACCGTTCTCGGTCCAGACATAGAGAGCGCCGGAGATCTAAGAGTCCTCACAAGAAACGCTCTAAATCCAAAGAGCGACGCAGATCAAAAAGCAGATCACGCTCCAGGTAATTAAAATGCTGAGCTAAGCCACTAGGTGATTTTGTTTTAGTGTGTGTGTATGTATGTGTGTATACACACACTCACACACACACACTCAGGTAGATACACCTGTTCAATTGCTTGGTGACACAAATAGTCACATGGCAGCAATTCAATGCATTTAGGCATCTAGACGTGGTGAAGATGACTTGCGGACATTCACACTGAGCATGAAAATGGGGAAGAAAGGGGATTTAAGTGATCTTGAACGTGGCATGGTTGTTGGTGCCAGACGGGCCTGTCTGAGTTTTTCAAAAACTGCTGATCTACTGGGATTTTCACGCACAACCATCTCTAGGGTTTACAGAAGAGAAAATATGCAGGGAATGGCAGTTGTGTGCACGAAAATGCCTTGTTGATGTCAAAGCTCATGGGGGGGAGAATGGGCAAACTATTTGCTGAGACATTCAGATGGTCTGGTCAGAATTTGGCATCAACAACATAAAAGTATGGATCCATCCTGCCTTGTATCAACGGTTCAGGCTGCTGCTGGTGGAAGAATGGTATAGGGGATGTTTATTTGGCACCAGCAAGGTGGATGGTGAGTGTGTGTATGTATATATATATGTGTGTATATATATATATATATATATAGTTGAGATTTATGTGAACCATTTTATTACCTGAATATTTGTATTTCTGTTCTAGTGATCCAAGCACTTCTGCCAGTCAGCATAGCCAGGTTTTTTTCTTCCTTGCAGACTATAGTTAAAGAAGTTCGGTGCTGAGAGAGATGTGGGGCTGCCATTGCTAAGCTACCTAAGGGTGTGAACAATAAGCACACATTGTGAAGGCCATCCCTCTGCTCTTGTAAGCATGTTAGAATGTTAACAAGCATTGTGCAAAACAGTCCTGGCTGATTCAGTGCTGACCCCCTTCACTTAGTGTTGCTGTGCGGAATATTTAGATTGCTTCAGTGAAAGCTACTTGTCAAAATGATTAGCAGAATTATTGTATCTGCTGATCTGAATGTTTTCTCAGATAGTCTTTTATGCAGCCTGGCCCTGAAATCAAGGGTCATAATTTGATTATTAGAATATCACAGGTACTTACTGGCACCACACCAGATCTTTAACAGCATTAGGTTAGTTTAGGACAGACTCTTTAAAGCGGAGCTCCAGTCAAAAACTGTAGCTGCTGACTTTTAAAAACAGACACTCGCTTGTCCCTCGATTCAACTTTGTCCTCACCCCTGCTGGGTTCACCGGTCGTCTTGTGTCCCCAGCACCAGCATCTTCATTGTGAGCACCCAGCTCTGACAACTTGCGGCTTTACATCCGGGTGACCACTGCGCATGCATGAGTAGGGCTATGCGTTGTGAATGATCCATAGTCTTCTGGGACCTGTCACATGTCCTAGAAGACTATGGGGGTTTGGGGACAACTTCCATTTCCAATCGCCTAGGCACTCGCAGCGATCCCATTTCACACTTGTCTGTATTTGGCAGATGCTCTTCTGTTGAGATCAGTGGAAATGTATCAAAGTGCAGGTCAAAGTGCATTGCAAAATGATGTTTAAAACACACAGGGAGGTATGTGAACATTAAGCCCAGGTTCACACCAATGTGGTGCAGGAAACTCTGCAAAACTTGTGCGTTTCCCGTACCGCATTGCAATCACATCACGTTCATGTGGTCTGGTGCTAGTCTCAATAATAAATGACACCCCGAAACAGATTGCAAAACACGATGCGATTGCCAGAAATCGAATTCCCATGCAATGTGATTCAGGTGTGAATTTAAAAAAATTGTGTATGGCTCAGATTGCACCGCACAAACATTTTGCATGTAATTCGTACAGGAATGCGGTGCAATTCCTGTGCAAATTATATGCGGTGTCTCGTACCGCATAGTGTGAACCCGTTGTAAAGCACGTTTGAAGACATCAGTGTGGATTATCCGAGGTGCATATTGATGCACATTTTAATGCCTTGTCATTGATTTAACAAAGCAGACTGAGGTAAAGGGACCATGATACAGTATACAGGCTTCTAAGGCTACTTTTACACTGATCTGCCGCAAAAACGCATAGGCGTTTTTACTGCGTTTTAGCTGCACTTTTTGGGCGTTTTTAAAGGACACGTGACTTAAAAACTGTAACAAAAACGCTTCTCAGAGGCATCTTTGAGGCGTTTTTCATTGATTTCAATGGGAATAGGTGTGTTTTTTGTTTTTTTTTAACTCTCCAAACATGCCCCAACGATGCTGCAAGCAAGAGTTTTTACACAAGCGCAACGCCTCAGTGTGAAAACATACAGAGATATACATTCACGTACACAGGGAAGCAGTTTTCTTGAGCTTTTCAGGCGCTTTTTAACACCAAAACGCTTGAAAAACTCCTGTGTGAAAGCAGCCTCAATTGTGTTTCTTCAAATCTTGGTATGTAGTTTTGCTGCAAACTACATATTGCAGTGACTGAAGTCCCTTATAAGCAGGGGTGGACTTGACCATTCAAGCACTCGGGCACTGCCCGAGGGCCCGGGGTCAGTAGGGGGCCCCATGAGATGCCCCTGGTACCTCACATTAGCTTTTTCATAGGCTTTTTTGGTGTGGGCGAGGACACGGGCCCCATGATCCCCTATTGCCCGGGGGCCCCATGAGTTGTCAGTCTGCCCCTGCTTAGAAGATACAACCACCATAATGGAGTTAGTGGACCAGATAGAATTTCAGTCTGACCTTATACAAAGAAATGCTTATCTCTTGTGTTTGCATTGTAGTGATTGGGTATGACAGCATTGTCTGTCATAATTGGCATGCATCCCACATTTAATATAATGGTAGGCTTTGATGTAATCAGTACTTAAAAATGTGTTTTTAATTTATAACCGTAATGAATCACATCCTTTTTCCACCTGTTTGCTTATGATTGATTAAAACTAGCCAAATATGTGTCCAATTATGCAGTTTTTATTTTTATGCACTTGATGGCATTACTGCCAAGATTGTGATCCATGCTATGTGTCTGCTTTTAGGTAGACCTTTCAAGTGCCCATACAATCCCTAAAGCACTGTACAAATTATTATATAGGATTTGGAGTGCTAGCAGTTTGCGCAACGCTTTACAAAATGGAGTGAGGACAGTACAGTTACAATCCAATACAAGAGGTATCAGAAGGCCCTGCTCATTTGAGCTTACTATCAAGTAATTGAAAAGACAACTGTTGGGGATGAGTTGGAGGATGTAAAAAGTACAATCTATTGCTTAGAGATAAGGACTGGTCAAAAATCGCTCTGTGGGTGGTTTGTCAGCTGCCTCCTGCCTGACATCCTTGGTATTGAATGAAGGAGACGTGGAGAATAGCTAGCCAAAAAGCGGCTATGTATGCATTTTATGATAGACCAGTGGTGTCGGGTATATCTGGACCACTGTGCTTGTCTGGCATTGCAGCTATTCCTGGTGGCAGAGCTGCAGTAGACTGCGGTCGCATCACCCTGAACTTGGAAGCTAAGTAGACTATCTGGGAATTCCAGAGTCTTGAGACAGCTGTGTTTTGAGAAGTATTTCGAACAGAGGATGCTGGGGCAGTCTCTGAGGTGATTCGAGACACTCGACAGGTTTGCACGCTCAAAACCAAACGAGGACATGAGGTCTATCTCAGATTTCAAGGCCCTAGACATAAGTCTAGACATCCTTCTGTTTTGGATGGGATCGGACCGATCAGTGGTGGCCTGAGATTTCGGGTGTCCATAGTCCTCAATGACGCACATCTTCATGAGCCAATTTTTTCAGGCTCATCAAGGGTCTCTGTGATCTGCTTAAAGAATCACCATTTTTTGTTTTGGTGCACTTCCCTTTGGGCTGGCCACAGCACCCTACCCCCCCCCCCCCCCCCCCCCCATGGAGTATTCACAAAGCTCCTAGCCATGGTGCTGGGTTTGCTGAGGACATGGGGTGTCCATCTCAGAATACCTAATGTCCCTTTGCTCAGGGAGCAGTCAGTTTCAAGTTTAACCACTTGACTCCCGGGCACTTTAACCCCCTTCCTTCCAAGGCCAATTCCATTTTCAAAGTTGCTCTTTGCATGACAAATCCACGGTCATGCAACACTGTACCCAAACTAAATTATCATTTTTTGAGCCAAATAGAGCTTTCTTTTAATCACCACTGGGGTTTTTATTTTTTGCTAAACAAAGACAAGGAATTTTGGAAAAAAAAAAAAAAAAAAAAAAAGTTTTTCTTAGTTTCTGTTATAATGTTTTCTAAATGAGTGAATTTTCTCTTTCACTGATGTGTGCTGACGGGGCGGCACTGATGGGCACTATTGGCTGCACTGATGGGGCTACATTGATCATCAGGGCACTAATGCTCAATGCCCTGATGATCAGTGTAGATGTTACCCTGAGAAATGCTGCTTACCGGCTCTCCTTTCCCCACACGCTGTCAGCGTGAGGAGAGGACTGCCGATAACTGGCATTTCCTATTTACACTGTGATCAGCTGTTATTGGACACAGCTGGTCACATGGTAAAAGGTGGCTCTGATTGTCCCCTTACTTGGATGTGATAAGTTGTGTCCGAAAGACACAGTGATCACAGAGGGGGCTCGTGGAGGGGGCATTTTTGAGTGGACGTCCGTGGACGCCCTCCCAGATCTAGCCATCTGTTGGCTATAGTGCAGTCGGGAACTGGTGAAACAAAACATAAGAAGCAAAAGGTATCTTTCAGTATGTCTCTGCATGAGGAAAGGGTACGTTGAAGCGGTTTCCTATGTGCAGTTTCACTCCAGGTCTTTTGTAGAAGAAGATTCTATCTGTCTGGATCAAGAAGGTCCAAGCATTGGATGGCTTTGTCCCCAGGGTATTGCAGAGTCTGAATTGGTTGTTTCTCTGGAATCTGGAGAAGGCGTAGTTTTCCTTTCAGTGATCAGCCAGCAACACTGATCATAGCTCAGTGGGAGTGATTCCCCCCGTCTACATTGAATCCATGGTTTGTTTTTTTGGCCAACCTGCTAGTTGAATTTAAAAAAAAAAAAAAAGTGTGGCCTGCCTAAGAGGCAGAAGATGCAATGTCTAGAATCGGCATTCTCTGGTCAAAGTCATGCATCACACATCATGGCATGTTACCTGTACTGAAGTGCGGCCATATGATTTGCTATTGGGCTGTTTGTATTAACTAGAAGGTGTACCTAATAAAGTAGTGGTTGAATATTTAATTGCTGCTAAACTACACTTTAGCTGATTACAATATCATATGTTAAAGTATTTTATACTAGATTTAATTTGACGTTTCAGAGAGAAGAAAAAAGACAAGGAGAGAAGTAAAGCCAAGGAAAAGGAGCGAACGAAAGAGAAAAACGATAAAAGAAAAAAAGAAAAACGGTCTCGTAGCCCTTCGAAGGGCCACTCATCTGTCAAACAGTCCCGCAGTGTTAGCAGGTATGGCATCGCACTTAATTATGACTGATGTTATTAAAATTTTGTAATTTTGTATAAAAGGCTCATGTATGACACATCTGACCTGTTTAGTGTGATAGAAATCGTATTTGCAAATCATTTCAAACATCCATTAGGTCTGTCCCCACAATTTTAGTTATTGCTCTCTGGCGTTTCAGGATGTAACTTTTTTTCTTTTTTTTTTGTGGCAGAGAAAGACGCAAAAGGAGGAGTCGAAGTGTTTCCAAATCTCCCCGAAATTCCAAAACAGCAAAAAGGGTTTCTAGGTCTCCTACTCCCAGAAGGTAGTATTCGGATTCTACTTGTCACTAACTGGACATGTGTTTCTAACATTTTGTTGACAAATGTTTTTGCCATAGCACAGAATGCCGTTTTTAACTAGTTTTTGCATAGCTTGTGGAAAGGGTTAGGTTTTTATTGCTGTCTTGGTGGGACGACCCTAGTGCTGCCAGTCAGAGGTGCTATCCACCATACCACTGTACATCCCCATATAGTAATGCTGCATTAAAAATGGGTTTCCAACACACCTCAGTGTGGTTTGACCTTTTTTCGGGATTGCATTACCTTGGTGTGTTAGAGTGCGATTCAGAATGAATGCACCCCATTGCAGTGATGTGTTACCTCAGAGACCTTGAGGAAGGGCACGTAACTGAAAGCTTGTCCTGAAAAATTGTATGGTAGTGTGGAAAAACAAAAAAAGTATCTTGTGCTTTACTGTGTTGTTTCTGACTGACAGGAAACAGTGTGAACCAACACTTATGCTGATTAAAAGGATGGGCATTAGATTTTCATCTTTGTTTGGTCTTTCATGTGTAGTTTCTAAAACAGCTGAACGAGTCTTTCTTTTGCTGTTTTTTTGTGTTTTTTTTTTTAAGATTTTAAAAAATGTTTTCCAAATACTTCAATTCTATATGGCAGTTACAAGAGGCACACTGATATCTTTATAGTGTAGTAGCATCTACAGATTGAAAAGGTTTATTTTATGAAAAATAGTAAAGATAATTTTTTTTTCCTGTAATCTTTAGGAAAAGGAACACATAGCTGTTCTACAGTGGGAATGACAAAAATGAAGGGATCCCCCAGCACATTGGGAACTATAAACTGTATGATGACGGTGAAGAAGGGGAAGCCTAAGTGGATTAAATCTTGGGCACTGTTCCTCTAAGAACTCTGATTGGTTTCACCAAGTGGGCATTATATGATGTCCTTACCACAACATTCTGCACATCTTTTACTTTAGCATCTGTTTGCCAGTGTGATGGTAAGCGTATGAACTTATGAATTGGATCAAAAGACTCTTCTTCATGTTCTAACATGTTTGTGAAGATTTTTTTAAACCGAATTTTGTGCTAATGACGACAGCCATCTTGTGAGTCCAGCTGGTCATTTTCACTCATAGTGACTGTTTTCATTTTTTTTTTTTTTTTTATTTCTTGTTATCACATGGTGCAGTCATTGTGAAGCAAAGAATCAAGGTTCAAAAGAGAGATCTACAAAAGTTTTATTTTATCTGCTCATTATTTTCACAAAGTATAAAACTGCAACTGACCAATTGTTCCCTCTGGGATTTTAGTACTAAAAAAACTAATGTTACATGTTGACATTGGAGACCTTGTGTGCTGTGCCAATGTCATTTTTTGTTTATTTGGGGGGGGGGGGTTACTGGTTTACTCCATTTATATCCACATAATATGAAAACCATATATTTGGTTGGTTGGCCTGACCCATTGATTTTTGGTAGACCAGGCATGTCAAACCCAAATGCAGTGGGCCAAATAAATCCTTCAAAAGGCCTGCAGTATGTCTACTGAGGACCACAGTTTAATTTCTGTAATTAACATTTATGTAATGATTGCAACTTTGTCATAAAACATTTCCTGTCGTGTTCAGTTGCAAAAGTATGAAAGGAAATATAACCATTATCACCCTGAAAACAGCTTGAGCCTATTTGGGGAAGGGGGGTGAGGATACAGCAGCAAACATATTAGTTATGTGTAAAGGTGTGTATCCTATGTCTTGAAGGCTGCTCCTTCTTGTAAAAATCCTCCCTTCGTCCTGTCTTCATAACTGCCTAATATTGCCCTAGGCAGCTCTCTTTTGGTCCTGTGTGTGTTACAGCAGCTGCTAGTGTGAAGAGTTTCACTGCTCACTTTGATGAACGACAGAATCTCCAGCGCCCATTTACAGAACATGTTGCCATTGGTGAAGAATAGTAGTACAAGGTCTCGAAATGGTAGAGAGGGCAGAAGAGGGGCAGGTGAGTGTCACAACTCTTGACACTAGCAGCGCCTCCTGGTGGCCCCTATCCTGCAAGAGGACAGCTGTTCAGGGCTATGAAGATGGCATGAAGGGAGGATTTTTTTCTAGGAGGAGCTTCCTGCAGGATGTAGGATACCAACCATTACACATCACTGTGTGCTGCTGTATTCCACCCCCCTCCCATCAAACTTCAGCTTTTCCTACTGAGGGCTACATGTGGCCTAGTTTGACATGCCTGGATTTGGTTCTGTGTTGTTACATCTTGCTCCTTCAGCATTTGAAACATATACTGAGGTAGATCCTTGAATAGATGTGATTTTCTCATTCATAGGCTGTCATTTTGGTCTATTGTCAAGTGCACTAATAGTTTAAGTCAAGGTAAGCTAGATAAAAGTAACTATGTTGAAGGGCAGGCATTCGTACTCAAATGGATCCTAGACCTTAGACTGCAGAAAGAGCCTCAAGTTCCCCCCATGTTAAGGTTAAAGTGGAATTCGAGTCTGTTGCGGGTCCTTAGGTTACATTATGTGCAAGTATGCACAGCATTTTTGTACTTTTTGGTAGTCTTGCTTGCCTAAGCACCCTCCTTCAGTGATTCAATGGCAGCAATTTCCCTCTTTGCCCTTTCAACACCATTGGCCTCATCTTGCTTTCCCGGCTTGGGATAACAGGTTTAGATCTGCTGTAAGATCCATTGCTTATCATTTAACTGTCAAAGACTTGGGGCTCGTTCACACCATGGTACAGAGATGTCAGTTTTTCTGCATGCATTCTGCAAGGTCACAACAAAAAAATCAATTGTTCTCTGTGTGGTCTGTTCACACCATAACACTGGTAATAAACTAATGGAGGCGCACATGAAAACTGATGTCTCTGCAGGTGAAATCTGCGTGTTTGCTTTTGACAGTTTTTCTGCACGTATGGTGTGAAGGAGCCCTTGGTGAACAGTAGAAGCTTTGGACCTTTGACAGTAAGGAGGAGGGGGGGGGGGCTGTCTGTGTGGATGGGCTGAAAGTAAAACTCTAGCTTAGGTTTTTTTTTTTTTTGGAAAGCTGGTTCTGATTTTTTTTTTTTTTTTTTTTTTTTTTTTTTTTTTTTTTTTTTTTTTATGCAGTCTTTAATGCTGTCTGTGTGGAAATGTAATTTGTCCTGGTGATTTCCCCCGGGGAGAAGTTGAGGAGCATTGTCTAAATTTTTACGCAGAGTTGTTACCAAGGTATGAAGTTCACCATTTATAGTCAAAAAATAATGCAATTTGTCCTGGTGATTTCCCCCGGGGAGAAGTGAGGAGCATTCTAAATTTTACAGTAGTTAAAGGATAAGTTCACCTTTTAGTCAAAAATAATGCACATTTTTTTTTTTAGGTAAAAATAATGCACATTTTTTTTTCAGGTAAAAAAATGTGCATTTTATTTCTGTCTGCAGAAGCCTGGAAAGCATTGCACCAACAATCAGTAGATTGCTGATGCCATGCAGGTCTCCTGCAGACCTGTCAGAATATCTGCTTGCCATATGGGATGTACAAGCAAGTAGATATTCTGACAGGAAGCATCAGTGAACTGCCTCTGCCCTCCACAATGCAGTAGTAGTTCATTGAAAACTACAAGCCCACTGCCGCTAAGGTTGTCGGGACTTGCAGTTCATTCATTCACGGAAGTCAATGAATTATGCCGCCGTGTCACAGCTGCGCTGTTTTCAAATCTGACAGATAGTACTATCTGTCAGGGGCGGTGTTTGTGGCTATGGAAACATGTTACAATTTGCACCCTAAAAATGGATGAACCATGTTACATGTTCCCAAAGGTCAACTTATCCTTTAAAGGCATACCTTCAAATGAGGAAACCTGTTCCAGAAGTTCCCATAACTTTGGGAGGATTTCCACTCACTTGTGACAGAGGTTCTAATTCCCTCCCGGGTAATGCTTTAATTTCAACCTGTATCCAGTTCCAGGCTCTGTGTATACCTATAAGGTCTAGGATCCAATAAAGATTTACTCAAAGACCAACACAGATACTTCATCTCTGATACATGTGGGTGCCTTCAAGGCCAGATCAGGTTCACTGTAATGCACTGCATAGACACATGGCACGCACTGACTTGATAGTAGCAATGTGAAATGTGAGGGCCTAAACTAAACGTACTGATAATTATCTTATTTTCAGTATAAATAAGTAACACTGTTACTGTATTAAAACAATTCAAATCATGCCACACTGTAAAAGAATTTTTATATTTGCTTTTCTAGCAGATGTAGTTTCGGATCCTTGCTCTCTGGGAGCTGTTACTGTAAGCCAGTTCTAGGTCTTCCATCCATGCGTACTGTTTAGATGTAGTGCTCCCTTGGTAGAAACCCAGCACAGTGCTGCTGTTAAAGACAGCAAAGATTAAACATACCACCTCTGGAAAATGGAGATATAAAGCTGCTTCTACAGTGTATGTCTTTTTATATGTTTTACAACTATGACCCCTCTTGAAAATGCCAGTTGCCTGGGTTCTGTGCTAACTCTCTAGCTTCAGTCCTTTTAAATAACCGAGCAGAACAAGCATGCAGAGGAAGACTTCTGATTTTCTTGATCTTCATACTTGCTCAGTTTCAGTAACCTAAATCGTATTGAAGTTGGAAAGAATGGACATTTTTATGAAGTAGCCCTGTATTTCTCACAATAGATTTTCAAGGAACTGTACAGTATAACATAAAAATGTGGAAAGTGCTCTCCACTAAATGGTATAGATATTAATTGGGCTGCTTTCATTGGTGTGGACTCCTGTGTCTCTCTGCCTAAGCTTCCAGACGGGGTTCTCTGTCCATGCAGTCCTGTGCAGTGGGTGTGTAGTGCTCTCTGCTGCCTGTACAATGGATGTGGTGCTTTCCTTTTGATGTTTACTCTAGAGCACTAACCTATAATAGTTACCGCATATACCTGTTTTACATGCAAGCCCACTGCATGTATGAGACTTTCGTAGTGCTGGCAGAGAACGAGAGAACAAGCTGCTGCCTATAGCAGTGCTGAGGCTTGTAATTACTGTCTACTCCTGGACACACCAGGCACTACTTCTACGGCGTGCTCTCTATCCCCGTATGATGAGAGCAGCACGGGGAGGTGGGAGGCACAGGGAACAATACTTGGTGGATTTACACTACGGCCCAGGAAACACTACTATTGTAATGCAATGTTCAGGTTCAGTAAACCGGATAGTGTATTGTATGAAAAATATGCTTCACTGTAGAGCACAAGTAATGCTTCAGTGCCTTCTAACAGTTCAGTCTTACATGAATGCTAATTAGGGACATTAAAAGATCTCCACCAAAACGGTTTACAGTAACAGCCGCAAAGATGTTACTTGGCTATGCTGCTTCGTTACTGCAATCCGTCAGTTTCAGATGGAGTATGGAAACCCCCATGGGGTCTATACCCCAAAAAAATCTCTGAGAATGCCATCACAAACAGTCCCTGCTATGTGTGTAATGTGTACGTTTCCTATAATCGCCAACTCCACCCAGTGGCAATAAAGCTATATTTTCCTGAAATACAGCATTATGGCCACTAGATTGAGCTGGTGATCATAGGACATACATATTATACAGGGATTATTTGAGATTCATTTGCACAGGAATGTTATCAAATAAATAGACCACTTAAAGCGGAACTTTGTTCATAACAACTTAATGAAAAATGTTCTTTAGCAAGAAACGTACATTCCACATTAATAATTATGCTTCTAAAAATGAGTGTGTGCTGTAAATTGCCTCCAGCATTGTTCCTGTTTCTTTTTGCTGGAG